ACAGGACATAAAAGGGCAGATTTCAAAAAGGGTTACATCATATCACTTCCCAACCAGGCTTCAGTAACGCACACCAGCTCTGCACATTCATCTGTTACTATGTTATAGACAGAAATGGTCTTATTTCACACAGACCTGCTGCTTACAAGCAGCAACCTGAAACCCCAAGGCAACCAACAGTTCAGCCATCTGGGCCAAGGGCTGAGACAACTGCAAGCTCTACCTAGCATTAAAACACTGCCAGCATGATACTAACAATCACTCTTCTTATTCTTATCTTCTATGTCAACACTACCTCAACTCACAATATGATGAAATCAAGTATACGATTTTATCACATACTTATCTAGAACAATTATACCTACCATTGATTCTGGACAATATTCAGGAGCGCGTTGCAATAAGTGCTTCAAATGAGAATCGCTCTTAGATGCCAAAATCTGTTGAAAGAATTTTTTTATAACAACTTTATTACATTTTAAGCAAGAAACATAAAAATTAACAAAAACTAATATTTAAGATAAGAAAAAGAGAAAAAGTAAAGAAAGAACCAAGCCAAAAGTGCAGGAAAAAAAGAAAGAAAAGAGAAATATAAAGAAGTGACTTCCAATTTTTTTTTTTTACAAGAGTTATAGATATAAATTTAAATTAACCTCTTACTCTATGGGTACAACATAACTTTCATTTTTTCTATCATCTATTATTTGTTTCTAATCATCAAACCCATATATTATAATTTCATTTTTTTCTGTTTCACGCAAAAAGTCCAAAAGTGGTTTCTGATCACCATTAAACTTGTTGAAGAATTGTTAAAGAAAATATTGCACAGTAAAAATCTCAATTTTAATGGAATTTGTTTCTAAACAAATGTATTTGTAAACATATTGTTATAGCATTTTAGCTACGGGTAGTCCTCAACTTACAAGTGGGACCAGAATTTCCATCGCTAAGCAATGCAGTTGTAAAGCACAACTGTGTCACTTAGCAATGGCAATCCCTGCAGTCCCGGTTGCTATCATTAACTGAATCCTACAGTCGTTAGGCAGGTAACTTCCTGCCAATTTTCCACAACTGAGGTCAGTGGGGAAGCCGGCAGGAAGTTGCAAGCCCCAGGCCGGCAGGCAGGTAAGTGGCTGCTGCTGGGTGGGGGAGGGAGTGAGGGGTTATGTGGGGGTTCAGAGGAGGGTCGGAGAGGGTGCACAACGGTACAAGGGTATGTGCAAGAAGTCCCGTGTGGGTTGGGGAGGGTGTGCGGGGGTGCACAAGAGACACCACACTGGCTGGGGAGGGTGCATGGTGGTGCGTGGCAGTGAATGAGAAGTGCCACACATGTAGGGGAGTGCACAAGAGGCACTGTGCAGGTTGGAGAGGGTGCGCGAGGGTGCAGCATGGGTTAGAGAGGATGTATGACAGTGCGTGGCAGTGTGCAAGAGGCACCGTGTGAGTCAGGAGGGTGTGCAGTGGTGCATGAGAGATGCCACATGGGTCGGGGGGCACAGCGCAGGTTGGGCGGTGTCAGGTTCAGCCCAAAGAACTCCACGAGACAGTGCAAATACAGTTCTGTTGCGTTTAT